ACCAGAAGGTGCGCCTCATGCTGCCGCCCACCCGCAGCCCCCACCCCGCGCCCCACTCCCTGCTGTCTGCCAAGCTGATGAAAAAGGCGGCGGATGAGACCAGCGTCTGAGCAGCTCCTCCTTCAGGGTGAGCAAATGGGGCCGGATCTGAGCCCGCGGGGCTGAGCCCAACTGGAGGGACTCCGTCCTTTGGCCAACACAGATCGGGAGCATCTGCCACGTGGAGCGGCCCGGAGGAGCTGGCTGGCAGAGCAGGGGACACCTATAGCACCATACGTGGGAAATCTCATATATATATATATATATCTATATATAATATTATTTTTTAATGGCCGTGCATATTGTGTTTCAGTCCTTTATGTGTCGATGTTCTAAGCTTCAGTATAGAAGCTGGCAGCCTGATCTCATTCAGAGGTTAAATCTATGCCTTTTCTCCAAACGAAGCACTGCTCGTCGGCCGTCCTTGGGAGCCCCTTCTCCTTTGCACTAAATTGGTTTTGATAATATTGCAGCCACCTCTCCCGTTACTCTCTGGTCTTTTTTTTGTGGAGTTTCTGTCCTTTCTAGAGAAAGTTGTGTGTTTTTAATAATTATTGTAACCCCAGAAGGAGTTGAAATGGCGTAAATGCTGAATGGAGACGTTTTGTATTGTAAAGTACTGTAATTTTGAGAATTTCAGAATGAGTTCCAAAACGAGCAAACCTTTTCCTGTGCAGACACGGCCTCACGGGATGCTTTCCTTGCAGGTCCTGGCTCATCCCCAGGACTCGGATGCTCTCAGCTCTTGGCACGTCCCACAGAGGTCCATGGAGGGGCTGAGGGTGTGTAGCAGTGACTGAACCCCCCCTCATTTTTCTCTATCAGAAGCTCATAATGGGGCTTTTGGGAAAAAGGGGAGAGCTGGAGTCTTTTTGCTGGTGTCCCCACTCAGCCTTGAGGCCGGACCTCTCGCTGGCAGTCCCTCACAGGGACATCTCAGCACATTCCATACCAGCAGCCAGAGGAGCTGCTGCTGTTTGGTTCAGCCCTGAAATTGCTGCCTGCCTGCTGTGTGTCCTCCAGCAAAATGATCCCCACGTCCCATCTCCAGGGCTGGCATTCCCCCTCCTCCCCCATTCACCTGCATTTCCAGCACATCTGGCTACCAAACCCTCTGTCTCATTTCCATGCCACCAGTGGCATTCCCTGCCCATGCAGCCCCACACCGCTGTGCCATCGATGCCTGTGTGCAGTGCTGTGCTCACAGACTGTGCCCCTCCTTTGCTGAGCCCACGTGGGTCAGACAGAACCCTCCAAGATGGAGCCCTGTCATTTCTTGGACGCAAAGCTCCCTGTGCCATTCTTGCTGTTTTTCCTTTCATGTTCCTTGCCTTTTTGTTCTTTCCCTCTGCTTGACTGTAGGCTTGAAGTCCCTGGTGGATACAAGGCAGCACCCTGCCTCTCCCAGCTCTGGGCTGTGTCTGTTTTCTCTCCCATCCCAGGACAATCCGTGCAGCACCTTGCAGCACCTTGCAGCAGCCCCTGCCCGCAGTGTCCAGGTCCTGGAAGTCTGCTGGCAGCACGAGGCTCTCATTGCTGCTCTCCCCATTCCCTCCTGCTGCCTCCCCTTCCATGCAGGTTTGCAGTGGGGCCATACAGTGGTTGTGCTCCCTCCGGAAGGCTCGGCCCACCCCTGGGTGCCACAGATCCCCCCCCAGGTGTTGCCTCCCTCCCAGCCCCTTCCCTCGGCTGTGGGTGCTGCACCACCACGCTGTGCCTTGTCCTGGGTACCTCCATCCAGTCCCTCCTGACAAACCACAGCCTGGGCACTTGGTGCAGCCTGGCTGCTGCCTCCCAGGAGCTTGGTGTTCCAATGCGTCCTGGCGGTGCGTAGGGGTGAGCGCTCCCACCTGTGTAAGGACTCGAAGGAGGAAACCCACTGATGGTCCAAACACACAGCTGGGAAAGCCAGAAGTCCTCAGCTGGGGCGGATGGGGCCCTATGCTGCTGCACAGCCACGGCCTCACCTCTTCTTTATTGTCTTTATCGTGGTTGCCAATCATCGGAGCTGTTGCATGTGCCCCTGCGAAACCCAACAGTGACTCTGAGCCTCCTCCTCCTTCCCAGAGGAGAAGCTCAGCTCATGGATGTGGGAAAGCAGTGTCTGACCCAGTGTCGTGGGGGAAACGGGCTGTGCAATTCTGTAAATAAAAGTGAGACAAACTTGGGGCTGTTGTGTTGTTACTGGTGGGGATGGAGGGGCGCGGGCAGGAGCTTCCATCACTGCTCCCCCAGGAAAAGCAAAGCAGAGTGGCTCACAGCAGGCGGTGGTTGCGGTTGGCACAGTGGGTGCAGGAAGAAAGAGGGTGAATGGGGAAAAGTGGAAAGAAGGAATGCAATTAAAGCTGGGAGAGGGCAGGAGATGATGTCCGTGTGGGAGAGGGTTGAGGTTCTGTGGTCAAGCTTCTGCTTCTCTGGCTGAGATTGAAGAGCAAAGAAAAGAGTGGGTGAAAGCAGATCTGATCAATTCTTACCGATATCTAGAGGATGGGGGTCAGGTGGATGGCTCTTCTGGTGGTGCCCAGTGACAGGACGAGGGGCAGTGGGCACAGACTGGAACACAGGAAGTTCCATCTGAACTTTAGAAGGAGTGAGTTTACTTTGAAGTTGACAGACATGGGCACCAGCTGCCCAGGGAGGTGGTGGAGTCTCCTTCTCAAGAGCTATTCAGAAACCTGGATATTTTCCTGTGCAACCCATTGTAGGGAATCTTCCTTACAGAATGGCCAGAGATGGAAGGGACCCCAAGGGTCGTGAATCCACCACACGCAGGGCCACCAACCTCCCCATTTCACAGCAGCCCAGGCTGCCCAGGGCCCCATCCAACCCGGCCTTGAACACCTCCAGGGATGGACGGGGCATCACAGCCTCTCTGGGCAGCTGTTCCAGCCCCTCACCACTCTCACAGCACAGAACTTCCCCTGACATCCAACCTCCATCTGCCCTCCCTCAATTCAAACCATTTCCCCTTGTCCTGCTGTCATCTCCCCTTGCACAGAGTTGATTCCCCTCCTGTCTGCAGGCTCCCTTCAGGCACTGCAGGCTGCACTGAGGTCACCCCCAGCCTTCTTTTCTCCATGCTGAACAAGCCCAGCTCCCTCAGCCTGTCTTTGTAGGGAGGTGCTGCAGCCCCTGCTCATCTCTGTGGCTCCTCCAGACCCTCTCAAACAGCTCCCCATCTTTCTTGTGCTGGGGGCTCCAGCCCTGGACGCAGTGCTGCAGATGGGGCCACACAAGAGCAGAGCAGAGGGGGACGATCGCCTTCCTTAGCAGGGGTTTGGGTGAGGTGGTCTCCAGAGGTTCCATCCGTACCCTGCAGTCACGTGATTCTGTGATCTTGGAAAGAAATACTGACTTAATGAAGCCAGTAGAAAATTCTTATTGTAGAAAGATCTAAATCGTTATGGCTGGCATGAAAATGTGCTTTTTCACAGGATCGCTCGTGGTTCTCGTGAGTTGGCCACTTCATTTGTCAGGATCCCAAGGCTGTCACAGAATCACAGAATCACAGAATCACAGAATCACCCGGGTTGGAAGGGACCTCAAGGATCATGTAGTTCCAACCCCTCTGCCTAGCAGGGCCACCAAACATATACATTCATATCAGGTTGCCCAGGACCCCGTCCAACCTGGCCTGGAACACGTCCAAGGACGGGGCATCCACAACCTCCCTGGGCAGCCCGTTCCAGGGCCTAACCACTCTCCTAGTAAAGAACTTCCCCCTAACATCCAACCTCAATCTTCCCTCCTTCAACTTAAAACCATTTCCCCTAGTCCTGCTGTTATCAGCCCTTTTGAAGAGTTTACTCCCCTCCTGGGTGTAGGTTCCCTTCAGGTATTGATAGGCTGCCATGAGGTCACCCCGCAGCCTTCTCTTCTCCAGGCTGAACAAGCCCAACTCCCTCAGCCTGTCCTCATAGGGGAGGTGCTCCAGCCCCCTGATCATCTTAGTTGCCCTCCTCTGGACCCTTTCCAAAATCTCAATGTCTTTCTTGTATTGAGGGCTCCACACCTGGACACAGTACTCCAGATGGGGCCTCACAAGAGCCGAGTAGAGAGGGACAATCACCTCCCTGTCCCTGCTGGCCACCCCTCTCCTGATGGAGCCCAGGATCCCATTTGCCTTTCGAGCTGCCAGAGCGCACTGCTGGCTCATATTCAGTCTCTCGTCCATCAGGACCCCCAGGTCCTTCTCTGCCGAGCTGCTCTCAAGGACCACTCCTCCCAGCCTGTACAGGTGCCTGGGGTTCTTCCGGCCCAAATGCAAAACCTTGCACTTTGCCGTGTTGAACCTCATCAGGTTCACCCGAGCCCAGCCCTCCAGCCTGTCGGGGGTCTCTGTTACATCAGGGAGGTCCAGAAGCCGTCAGGGGGTCCTGGAGCAGTTGTGGGGGTGGGGAAGTTCAGAAGCTGTCAGGGTTTCAAAGCTGTCAGGGTCCAGAAACTCTCAGAGGGTCTCAGAGATGTCATGGGGGCATCCAGAAGCTGTCAGGGTTTCAGAGACGTTGGAGTCTTGGACATGTCAGAGAGGTCCAAAATCTGTCGTGTGGTGGGGATGTGGTCCAGAAGCTGTTGGGGCTCTGAAAGCTGCTGGGGGACTCCAGAAGCTGTCGGGGTTTCAGAGCTGTCAGAGTCCAAAAGCTGCCACTGGGTGGGGGGCATCCAGAAGATGTCGGGGGGTTTCGGAGCTGTTAAGGTCTCAGAGCTGTAGGTGGGGCCAGAAGCATTTGGGTTTCCAGAGCTGTTGGGGCCAGAAGCTGCTGGGGGTCTCGGATACATTGGGAAGGTCCGGAAGCTGTCAAGGGTTCCCAGAGCTGTTGGGGTCCAGGAGTGTTGGGGTGCCCCACAGCCCCAATTCTCTCCCAGCCCCCACAGTCACTGTGGTACAAAAGGCCCCAGAGGTGCAGCCCCCACCCCTCCCGGCCCCACAGCCATGAGTTCAATCAAGAAACATGTCGAGATTTGGGGGAAGGCCTCTTTCAAACACTCAGTTTATTATTCTGTATTATTCTAAACAGCAGACATACACGAGAAACTTCCCCCCTCGTTTTATCGCGCCAAAATTGCTGGTGTGTGTGAGAGCTTTGCTGCCCAGGATCTCACAAAAACAGACTCCTGTTTATCTCCTCTCTGGGATGCTGGTGATGTTCTGGACAGATACGTGCTGCTTTTTCCCTTTTATCGTGATGTTGCTTTGGGATTGCAAAGATTTCTGCCCAGCAAAAAAGGCAGATTGCTCACATATCAGGGATGCACTGCTCACATCCTTTATTTCCTGACAGGCAAAGAAGGGAAAGAAACAAACCGGCTGCTGCGTGGTATGCGTGCATCTTCAGCAATCCTCTCCTGATATTAATTGGTTTTCTTGGATCCCAACAGTAAATTCCTGGCAAACCATGAAGGAAGTTCAACTTCCTGATGCATATCTGCCTTGACTGCTTCTGGTAAAGGAACTGTAACAGATCAGCTTCTAGGGGTAGAATTTCCCTGAGCAAATTGCTCCAGGTGTATTCCTGGGAGAGGCTGAATTGGGTTGTTTCAGTGTGTGTTTGAACAGCTGAAAGACTGAAGGAGGAAAAGGAAACCAAGCTGGAGGGAGGATGGAGATCCAAGCATGGCAAGTCCACGGGAGTGATCTGGCCTATGGACTTTGGACACCTCCGTTTCTGCCGCACTTTCCCTGCCCATCCCTACAGCTTTTCCCAGTGCCCTGCTGCAAGCAGTGTGGAGGAAGACAAGTGTGCCCAATGCACATCAGTGAGAGCTGGAAATAAGGCCGAGAGAGAGAGGGTTCAGATGCATGGAGAAGATAAGTGTTATCATGAGCTCCAGCACCCAGCTGTGTTCTTACATTTTTTACTTCACCATTGAGCTTATCTGAAAAAAAACAGACATGGCGCTCAGCAGCTTTCAAGGCCTTTGGATCTGCTGTATTTCTCATGGCCACGCACAGAGCCGATGCGCAGTCCCACCTCTCAGTCCCAGGGTCCCCTTGCAGTGATCTCCTCGGTGCCTCCCCTGCTGTGGGGAGGAGGGGGGTGGAGAAGCTCCTGTGTGGCATCCATCCCCAAGACCTTCCAGTTCCCCATCCATCACTGACCTTCTGCTTGGTGGCCAGAGGGACCACGTGAGGAATCACCAACCAGTGAGGATGTGCAGCTCTCGCAGTGCCCCGCACTGAGAGCCAGGCTGATGGTTTCCTTCTTTCCAGTTTTGCCCCTGCCCTCCATTCTCCCTCCACATCAGGGGCACAGCTTCAGCCATGAGTCCTTTCCCACCCAAAGCCACGGGTATAGCATCTCCTCGGGACATGAGGCCAGGCAGAAGGCAAAGATCTGGTCTTTGCTTTCAGCATCAACAAATACCACTTGCCCGCCCCCAAAGTCCAAGGAGACCCGGATGGCCCTGGGCAGCTGGGCAAGGCGCAGGGCTGTCCAGTCAGGGCAGGTGAAAGCGTAGTACTGCCCAAACCACTGCCCCACAGCCCAGATCCCCTCCTGGGGGGTAAAACTGAGGACCCCCTTCCTCCTGACGGAGTGCTGGGCCACCCCTACCGCCCACCAGTCACCACCGTCGGCCACCTCCACCTCCCAGCAGTGCTGCCCCGAGGAGAAGCCGCGGTCTCCCAGCACGCACGGCTCCGTGCCGAAGCGCTCGGGGCCATCGGGCAGTGATGCCCACACCTCCCCACGTCTCACATCTCGCCCATCGTCAGCCAGGAGCAGGAAGGGGTTGGCGGTGTTCGGGTCCAGGGTGAAATCAGCTGGGAACAGAGGAGAAGCTGCTCAGGACAGGCAACCCTGTGTTATGTCAGGGCTGAACCCACCCAGCAAGGGAAGGGATGGGCTGAATTCCTTCCCCCTGTCCAGAGATCTCCATCATGGGGTGAGGATCTCTGCGTGCTGAGCTGCCCCAGGCTCTAGCTACTATGGTCCTGCCTTCTCTGGAGCTTCCCGTGCAATCCCTGGCCAAGGGGATCCCCTTTCCTGGAGGATGTAGCTGCACCTGCTGTGCAGACACCTGGCCCTGAGTGTGGGTTTTCCTTGTGCTGCAAGAGAGCAGCAGGCACACCTGGGCACAGACCAGCACAGAACGTGACTCTGAGCCCAGGACTGATCGCCCATGGCCTCACATTCCTCTTCCTCTCTGTGTGCAGAGGTGGGAACCAGGGTGGCAGCTCAGGTGCCTGGTGCTGCTGGTGGGTCTACAGATAAGCCAGAGGAATCCAGCTGGGGGTGGAGGGGTCACCAAGTCTCAACCCTATGACAATCCCCAGGAGCTTTGCCCCTTTCTATCTCTTCACAGCAGAAGCAGGACGTGCTTTTCTCCCAGACAGCATAATTGCCTCTAAAAACTCACCTCTTTCACTCCTCTCCTCCTCTTCATTGGCCAGGGTCTCCATCTCTTCTCCCTCCATCTTGGAAATGAGCGTTTCTGCAGAACGTCAACAGGAGCAGAGACATGTCCCCTGCTGAAAGTGGAAACTGTGGGACACAGAGACCATGTGAAGATGATAAAGGGGACCCTCTTTTCCAGAAGCCTGGGGAATGCTGGAGAAGTCACAGCATCCCAGCACAGTCAGCACTCACTGCAGGCTGACAGTGGGAAAGAAGGGTTCAGATGGGTCCAGACACCTTCAGTTTGCTCTCTGCAAACTCATCAGATCGCGGCTAGAAAGGAGTGTCCCCACAGTGTCCCCATGCTGTTTGCAGAGAGGCATCGTGGGAATCCCTGCATCTCCCCTCCCCTTGGCCAGCTGCAGGCTGGTGATAAGAGCCCTCTGTGCCATACGGAGCTCTGAGCCCTGCTGGGTCCCCTGTGCTCGGGTGGGACGTCAGCTGGGGACACCAGCCTTATCGGGTGCCCGGGTTGTGCAGAGTCAGATGGAGGAGCTCTGGCTCCTTACAGACTTGCCCAGCTGTGCCGTGCTGCCAATGGGTTGCGGGGGGGGCGCGCGGGGGAGATGTTGGCAGGGCTTCAGTTGCTCATCTGGTAATGGGGGATGGTGCACACTGGTCTTTGTGCCCTCCCCCTTTTTCCTCCCCCCTTTACAGCCACTACAGCTGCTGCCTCCACTGCCCTATGCTGGCTGCTGTCATTTACAGTGCCACTTTCCACGTTCACGAGCTGCAGTCAGGTATGAGCCCCCCATGGCTGTGTTTGCTCTGCCCATGGGACGGCACAGCACAGGCTTTCAGCACAGGCTTTCAGCCAACTCACAGTGATTTCTTGCTTTCTTCCAGCCCCGTTCAGCATGCAGGGCCCCCCTGACCCCATGGCCGTGGCTGTGGGGCAGGACGTGGTGCTGCCATGCCGCCTGTCCCCGGAGCAGAGCACACAGGACATGGAGGTGACGTGGTTTAGGGACCAATTCACGCCCTTCGTGCATTGCTACAGGGATGGCCAGGACCAGTACGGGGACCAGGAGCTTCGATACCAAGGGCGCACGGAGATGCGCCTCACCAATGGCAGCGTGAGCTTGAGAATCCTCCGCGTCCAGCTGTCTGACAGAGGGAGCTACACCTGCTTTGTTCGCACTGATCTGGGATACGACGAGGCTGCAGTGGAGCTGCAGGTCACAGGTCTGTGGTCTGCGACGCGCCGAACCAAACTGCAACCCACGGAAGGTTCTGAAGCAGACGGGTTCACTCTGCTGGGTGCGAGGCGGATATCTGCTGCTGGCACACGCTGAGAAAAGCAGTGGTTGCATTTTTAAAGACATAACATAGAGATATTCATTATCTACAAGAAAATGGGACGGAATTCTGAGGAATTATCGCTATGTTGTTCCGCCCTGTTGAGCATGCATCCTAAAATATGGCAGGGGTCTCTGGTGGTCATCGGATAAAGGCTAACAGTTTTTCTTGATGTGAACTTTCAATCCTTAAAGTGGCTGGGGGGTGTTGTGTTGAGCTGAGGCACCTGTTTCACTTCCCTGTCTTCGATAATGGGATGTCTACCCCTCTTTCTTATCGTTGTTTGGCGAGTTGTGAGTTTCCACAGCCTCTGCATTCTGTTCTTGAGCTCACTTGTATGCAAGCATCTTGTCCTTCAGCTTGTATCCACTCAAGTTATGTGAAAAGGCTCTTCTCACAACATGGAAAAGCTGTTCTCATGATTCATCTGCGTCCCTGTCTTCTGTGGGGGGCTCCTCCCAGTACCTCTGATTTGCTTGCTCACAGCCAGCACTCTTCTCTCCACCCCTTCTTCCCACTCTCCTTACACATTCGTCATCCCATTCTTCTATCTCACACTTCATCCCATTCTTCTCTCCCAACCTCCATCCCACCCTTCATCCCATTCTTCTACTTCTCACCCATCCTTCATCCCATTCCTCTCTCCCAACCTTCATCCTAATCTCACCCATCCTTCATCCGCCCTCCTTCCCCATCTTTCACCCCACTTTTCATCCCGCTCTTCTCTCCCACCTTTTACCCACGCAGTGACCCCAGGTGCTTTTTCAGGGAATCCTGGTGGTCCCTTCCAACACAAGCTGTTCTGTGACTCCACAACGCTGTGACTGTGCTCACCAAGTTGTCCCAGAGAGGTGGAGGTGTCCGCTGCACAGCCACATGTGGCCAATGAGACGTGCTGCCTACAAGACATGGTGTTGAAATTATTTTCTTAATATAAAAATGGGAATAGGAAAAAAAAAAAGGTAGTGGGCAATAAAGTAAAATATGCTTTTATATATTAATATCCAGACCTGGGGATTACTTTATAGCAGCCTCCAGGGCAGATGCTTATGGAGAAGACTGGATAAGAACTTGGGTGCTCTCTGTGTGCATAAACACAAAACATCATAGAACAGCTTGTGCTGGGAGGGCCTTAAAGCCCTCCAGAAGAGGAGGCTCAGGGGAGACCTCATTGCTCTCTATAACTACCTGAAGGGAGGTTGTGGTGAGCTGGGGGTCGGCCTCTTCTCTCGTGTAACTGGTGATAGGACTGGAGGGAATGGCTTCAAGCTGCACCAGGGGAGATTTAGGCTGGATGTGAGGAAATACTGCTTTTCTGAAAGAGTGGGCAGGCACTGCAATGGGCTGCCCAGGGAGGTGGTGGTGTCACCAACCCTGGAGGTGTTCAAGGAATGTCTGGACTTTGTGTTGAGGGACACGGTTTGGTGAGAGCTATTGGGGACAGGTGGATGGTTGGACTGGGTGATCTTGAGGTCCTTTCCAACCTTGGCGATTCTGTGATTCTGTGATTCGGTTCCACCCCCTGCCACGGGCTGATTGTCCCCCAACCTCGTACCCAGCATCACCCCCACCCCATAATAACCCACAACCACCGTTTCCTGCAGCCAGTGGCTCAGCCCCGTTCATCGCACTGCAGCGCTACCAGGACGGCGGCATCTGCGTGGCATGCTGCTCTGCAGGCTGGTTCCCGCAGCCCCAGCTGCTGTGGCGGGACCCCCGTGGGCAGTGGCTGCCCTCCCTCTCTGAAAACGTCACCCAGGACGGCGGTGGCCTCTACACAGCAGAGAGTGTCCTCGTCCTCGCCAGTGGTGACAGCCAGGAGCTGGCCTGCGTGGTCAGGGCTGCGCTGCACAACCAGGAGAAGAGTCCGTGTTCTCCGTCGCAGGTAAGCGGAGCACGGTGCTGCGGGCACAGGCTGTCTTTTCCCTGGAACAGACATAAATCTGCGTTCTGTTTCTGCTTGCAGGGTAACTGAAGCCCTACGGGGCTCTTTTATTTTTCAGATCCTTTTTTCCAAAACGCCAGACCGTGGAAGATCGCCCTGAGCCTGGTACTGGTTGCAGTGGTTGCTCTCTCCATCGTTGCTGTTTATCTGCTGAAAATGAAAGGTACAGTCCTGGGCTGGGGCAGGGGACCCTCTCTGACTCACTGCTCGGGCTCTGAGGAGGTCTGGGGGGCAAGGACCCCTCTGGGGTCATTTGGACGCCACTGCCTTGTGTGGGTTTGGAGCTGCAGTTGTAGATAACCAGCGTGGTTTTTTAAACCGCTGATGTTTCTTTCTTCTGTTTTTATTCACAGGAAAGTATGAGAAAAAAATAGGTAAGACCTACTTTGCCACTAATTGGAAAACTGGAGAATTTCCACTGACTGATTAGACAAGGATAATGATTATCTGATTATCTTAAGGATGGGGTGGTGGAGGCAAAGGGGTACAGAGCAGCCACAGAAAATTAAGGAACTGATTTCTGAAATGACAGAAGGATGAAACTGTGAAATGATGCTGCAATTTTAAGTAAGCTCATGGCACAAGCAAAGTGAGAGCAAGGGTGCTGTATATTGGCAGAGCTTTGCTCTGCAAAAGCCCCTTCCTAATAGGGGTGGCAGATTGGGGTCTCACATTTTGTGTTGCTGTGATGGTAACGAGTTCCTCTGGTTCTCTTTGCAGCAGCACAAGCCGCAGAGCTGGGTAAGTCCCATCCTCTCTGGTAGAATCCCCCTGCACTGCTCCATGCAGCCCTCCAGCTGCCCCAGTGCCGCGGATCCATCACTAACTGGGGGGTCTTTCTCTTTGCTGATTAGGGGACCGTGACTCCAAAATTGGTAAGGCTCATTCTACGCAGGCGGCTGTGGGAGAGGTGATGTCCCAGCTGGTGCCCGCTCCCATCTGTGCTCGTTCCTTGTTTTGCAGAGAAACAAGCTGAGGAACTTGGTGAGTACGTTCCTCTTCCTATGTGGGAGATGTTTCAGTTGGTCCGTTTTCCCCTGAGTATTGCATTTACACCCTGGTTTGGGTCTGCTGCTGGGAAATGAAGAGGTGACAGATGCTGAACTCACTTCAGAAGCATTGCCATCCTTTATATTTTAAGTTACTTCCTGTACTTCTTCTATGTTAAGAAAAAAAAATGCTTTCTGTTCGCAAAGAAGGCACACACAGACAGTAAGTACACATGTGAGTCAGGCCCAGCAACGGGGCTGCCTTTATCAGAACTGCATGGGGCACTTCTCATCACCAGACACCGAAGGCTGGAAGTCACACACCATGAAATGACTTTCACAAACGCACCAACAATCTGGGAAATGTGCAGCACGTGGCCTGTCATCATCCCAGCCAAACTGGTGCCATGGGTGCGTTCGAGTTCTCTCTCATCCGTGTTTGTTTTCTAATGTTTTTTTCAAGTGTGGAGAAGATATGCAGCGCTGATTGAAGATGGTAATTGAAGCTCTGCCTTCCGGGGGCTGAGCCCTCTTTGCTTTACCCTCATTTCCCACTGCCCCCCCTGCAGTGATGCTGGGATGCTCACACTTTGCAGTGCTGTGCTCAGGGCCCTGCTTGATGCATGCCCCTCTCCAAGGCACATTTGAGAGTCCTGGGCCCCAGCGAGCAGAGCAGCGCTGGTCTTGCTCTGGGGCTGTAGGGATTTGCTCAGCTGGGAGTTGTGCTGCTGTTCCTCCTCCTGCCTGTGGTTGAAACTAGATGATCTTTGAGGTCCTTTTCAGCCCAGGCCATTCTATGATTCTATGATCCACGATTCTCCTCTCCGCTCTGGGCTCTCTGCAGTTCTTTCTGCTCCTCACGCCAATGCTTTGCACGTCTTCCTGCTTCTTTGCGCCCTTCCCCTTCTTCCCCAGCAGCAGAGCTCTGCCCGACACGTGCCTCCCTCTGCCCACAGCGAAGGTGGTTCTGGACGCAGGCACTGCCCACTGCGACCTGATCCTGGCTGATGATGGCAGGAGTGTGAAGCGCACAGACCGACGCCAGGACGTCCCCAGCCGCCCCGAGCGCTTCCATCCCTGGCGCTGCGTGCTGGGCTGCGAGGGCTTCACGGCGGGGAGGCACTGCTGGGAGGTGGAGGCGGTGCTGGATGGAGGGGGCTGGACCGTGGGCGTCTCTCGAGAAGACGTGAGGAGGAAAGGGGAGATTGAGTTCGGCCCAGAGGAAGGCATCTGGGCCGTGGGGCAGTGGGCAGGGCAGTTCCAGGTGCTCACATCTCCGCAGCGCACGCTCCTTCCCGATGTTCACACTCCCACGTGGGTCCGGATCGCTCTGGATTATGGATTGGGCCGGGTGGTGTTCTTCAATGTGGATGAGGAGATCCCCATCTTCACATTTCCACCAGTGTCATTCCATGGGATAAAAGTCCACCCCTGGCTCTGGCTGGGTCCTGGTACACAGCTCAAAATGTGGCCCTGATGAAGAAGAGGAGGAAAGTGAAGGCGCTGCTGGGATTGATCCCTGCTGCTAAACAACCAGCCTTTATCAGTTGGGATGAATTTGCCATCTCCACCTCCAAAGGTAAATGATGTTACCTCTCTGGACCTCTGCCCAAGGCTGGTTAGGGTTAGGTATATGCTTTATCTGAGGCCAGGTGTGCTGTCACACCAGCTCCTTCACTCATCTGATGTCCAGCAGGCATGGATCTTTCCAAACAAAGGCTTTACTGTTATTGCCAAGTGTGTTTTTAATTCCAGAAATGAATGAGGATACACTTGTATGCAACACAAATAAAGTCTGCTCAGCCCAGGAGCACTGAGCCTCACTGCAGAGAAGTCCAAAAGGAACAGCTCCGAGATGCAGCCTGAGCTTGCAGCAAGGTTCTCCAGGTGTTTGCTGGAATATACAAGAAGCAGCTTCCTCTATAGCAGGACCCCTCATGTGAGCACTGCAAGAGGAGCCAGAGCCAAAGTGCGGACACTGAAATCTTCTCCATTCTCCTCCTTTACCTGTGCAGCAGCTTGAGATTCTGCAGAACACAGACATGAGCTCCTGCTTCAGGTATGGCAGCGGAGCTGGCAACAACACTTCAGCAGATGCTCCTCAGTGTGTTTAGAGGAAAGTGGAGAAGCCACCTGAGGAGCACATCATGATTGCAAGTAAGACGTCCAGCTAAGAGTAACTTCAGACAAGAGTAACACAGGGCAGGTATGGTGGTGGGAGGGCAAGCACTAATGAAGAATGCAGTACTGCAAAATAGCATGCAGGGGAATGCTTCACTGCTACTATCAGTCATTATTTCTTAATTAGTAAAAACTAATTCAAAGAGAAAGCAGTGACAGTGGTGCAACGCATTCCCTTTTATAAAATGTGGTCCATTGCAATTAGGTAAACATGTTAGTAAGTAAGATCCGTTTTCAGATGGGTTTTCAGCAGTCTAACAGTGACAAAAGGCTGCACAAAACAAAAAGCAAACCCTGCCAGAGCTACTGGGTGCTACCGAGAAACACAGCGCCTCCCTGCTACAACTTGACTAACAGTGCATTCGTGTGTATGCACACACATCGCATACCCATGTGCATTGGTAAAGCTCACCTTTAGATGCTTCAGGCAAATCAGGAGGGGAGAATGAGGCAGAGCTGAGGAGGGTGCGCAGACCACAGCAGCCAGCAGAGGGGAATCGTGGTACTGGAGCCGGCACCGAACTTCCCATACTGAGGGAGCAGGAGCACTGCAGTGCAGGAGAGGAAATCATGTGCAGTCTTAATCCTGGAGACTGTAAGAGACGGTAGGGGGAACATCTGATCTCTCCCTTCCTACCCCATGCATTCTGTTGGAAACCACTGCTGCAAAGGCAAAAAGCAGCCCCCAGGTCCTGCCTCTGCTGCTGCCTCCAACTCATTCACTGCAAGCTGAACTGTAATGCTGCAATTTGGCTCCTTGGATGATCAATATTGCTAAATCTGGAGCCAGGGGGACTCACAGGCGGGCAGCATCAGTCAGACAAAAATCAAGATTCATTTCGGATATATAAGAATATTTGGGGACAGTTCTGAGAATCAAAACACTTGGACTGTGAATTATAAATAGATTTGAGGAAGAAGTCTTGCTTATAAACACTTTAGGTTGAAGATGTTTGCTTGTTTTCAGAGACAATAAATGTAGGACTACCTAAGCTGGGGGTGAGAATTTGAGAAAGGAATTGCAGTTAGCAAATTGAGGGAGGTCATTCCCCCTCTCTGCTCCATTCTTATGAGGTTCCACCTGTGCTCCGCTCAAAGGCCCCAGCATAGAAAAGATGTGGATCTGTTGGGGAGAGCCGAGAGGAGGTCATGAAGGTGCTCAGAGGGCTGGAACACCACTCCTATGGAGGACAGCTAAGCTTGTTCAGCCGGGAGGAGAGAAGCTCTGGGGAGAGCTCATGGCTGCAAACCATTCTGTGATTACATTCCATGATTCTGTGGCACAGAGGTCAGGGTCTGCCTGAGCACCAGTTTGCTGGCAGGAGGTGGTAAGACAAACAAAGTGCCTTTGTATCACTTGGGGGTTTTGCTGATGCTTCTTCTCATGGCCTTTATTAAACTCTCACTATCTCATACCAGGAGTTCTGTTCTTCCTGTTCTCTCCTCTCTCCTGCTCTGGGGGTCAGTGGGCAAGCAGTGGGTCCTCAGCTGCTGGCTGGGATTCACTGCTGAGTCCACAGAATGGAGAACCAATGCAAAAACCATCCTGGTCAACATCCGCCCTTGGAGCTTCTGTGTGACCCCACGGCCTGAGCCCTGAAGTGCTCTGTGGTGACCTGGGAGGCAGAGACAGCTTGGCTGTAGGAACTGAGAGCAGGAAGATCTGCAAAGCCCAGCTCCTTCCTCTGCCTCTAATCTCCTTGCTCGCTCTGTGCTGTGGCTTCTCCCAGCAGTGCTAAAGCTGCCTTGCAGTCCAGCACATCCATCCCCTTCTTGCCTGGCAAGTCAGAAAGAAAGGAGCCCTTTTGGACACCACCAACCCTGAGGTCACGCGCAGAATCCAGCTCTCCCCAGTTCACCACCAGGCTGCCGTCCCCACGTGGGGGGCTGGAAGCCAGGGAGAGCTGCAGAGGAGCTGCTTTGAGGCAGGGGAAGGGGCAGCTCTCAGTGCAAGGGACACGTGTCCCAGGGTTGGAAGTGACCCAGCCTTTGGGGTGCGAAGCCCCTTTGGGGCTGCTCCTGTGCGCAATCCTCACCCCTTTACGGTGCAGAAGCAAGAAATGACGGAGCTGGTCTGCACTCGGGTGGAGACTTCTGCAAGGAGCCGTGATGTGGCAGCACAGGGAAAGCGGGAGGTGGTGTGGAAGCAGGGCAGATGAGCTCGGCTTCTCCACAAACCACAGCTTCCCTCCCAGCAGCTGCGGGTGCTGATACAGGGCCTGTCCAGTCTCTGCTGCCAGACGGGAGGCAACGCAGCAGGAGAGCAGACACTGAGGGGTCATGGTGAGCGCAGGGGAGCGGTGGCCCTTGGGTCTGGGTGCTCGGGCTCTGGGTGCTCGGGGTCCATATTCTCTGAGTCTGGGTGCTGGGGCTCTGGGTGCTCGGGCCATGAGCACCTGCGCAGAGGAAGCTCTGGTCCTGCGCTTCATCTCCTGGCCCACGAACACAAGTGTGGCAGAGGGCTCTTGTGGGCAGAAGCGTGTTCAGGGAGCCCCTTCCAGCCCAGGTACAGCTTCCCAGGACCGGGAGCGTGAGGCTGCAGAGACGCCTCTGAGCCCCTGCTTCTGCAGCAGCGAGGCTGGAACGGCCGCCTGGGGGGCAGCAGCACGCGGGGCGCTTTCACGCTTTGGAGGAGGGCACGAGGGCAGAGCTGGCGCTTTCCGAGCCTGCTGTCCGCGGGGCTGGGCGGGGACGGAGGAGGTCGGGGCTGGGGACTCCAGAACGGCCGGCGCAGGAGCGCGGCGGGCCGGGGCCGCACCGCAGGCGCCCGCAGCTCGGCTCTCCCCGCAGGCCGCGCGCTTCCCCGCTCTGCTGCCGCTGATCCT